AGACGGGAGCTTCCCAGCGGCTCCTTGGCCATAGTTGTGTGGGGTGCTCTAAGGCTTGGGAGCTCTTTCCCCTGACAGGTTCCTGAGCTGGGATGCTGATTAACTGCTAGGAGCATTAAGGGATGTTAGGGGTGGCTGTCTCCTCCAGCAGGCCCAGCACCTCTCCTGCCCCACCACTGGAGCCCAGCCCAGGGATCCGGGGTCCCTCAGGCTGAGGGATGCAGCTGCCACTTTCCTGTTTGCAGGTTCAACCAGTAGCAGAGCTGAGCGCCCATCCCGGAGACACACAGACACCCACAGGACACTGACATAGCCGGCCACAGGCAAGGCGCTGCCTTCGACAGCACGTACATACGGGACTCACATAAACATAAACACAGATGGCCAAGTCCCCTCCTCTTCTTCGGCTGGCAGAGACAGAAGGTCACTTGTGCCAGCACACACAGCATTCTCCAGGTTCACAAGCACACACACATTCAAGGGTCCCTTGAGTACCAGCACGGCCCCTCTGCCCAGCACCCCTGCCTGGATCTGAGCCCCCCTGCCTGCCTCAGGTGTCCCCCTGCTTGCCAGCTGGTCAAGCCCGATGCTTGCTAGCAAACACATAGCACTCAGATACTTGTCCCTCATTCCTTGAATGTCCACATTCACAAGTCCCTTTGGACTTCTAGCACAGATTGCCACCCGCCTCATACCCTGGCCTGGACCCAGGGCCTCCTACTTGCCAGCTAGTCCAGTGTGAAATCTTGCTAACTAGTTACATGCACACTGCATGCACAGCAGGATTGGGGAAAATACAGACGCTTGCCCTCACCCCCCAGCACCAGGCACTGCAGTTCTGCTTCAGCTGCTGGTGCTGAGCTCCTCACTTGCCTCCCTCACAGTAACTGTTTTTTGAGACACACACACCGTTCCCTCCCCAGTGGCTGATGGCCGAGGGCCCCACCCACTCCAGTCGCTAGCACTGAGACCCTCGCACTCGCTGCAGTAGCTGGCACTACAGGCCAGGGGCATCTACACCCCTGGTCTGACTCCAATAGCTGGCATCCAGTCCACTCTACGCCAGTCTCCCCAATAGCTGGCACTCCGGGCTCAAAGTCTGCGGGACCCTCCCCAGATCCAGAGAGCGATGGCCCCTCCAACTGCTAATGCCAGGACCCTCACTCACTCCAGTCACTGACACCACAGGCCGCAGGTCTCCCACACCCCCGGTCAGGCTCCAGTTGCTGGCACCAAATTCCACTCACGCACACGCAGGTCTCACCAGTAGCTGGCACTCAGTCCTTGCAGCACACACGTGGGATAGAGAGATAGGAAAGATTTAATAAGAAGGTGTAAGAAAGTGGGACAAACTGCAGCGATCAGGCGCGGGGCTCAGTCAGACAAGTGCACTGACAGGCCACGGTTTAGACACGACTGGCCCTTTTTATACCCCTTTCTGGGCACCCCCATCTGTGTTCCTTGCCAATTCACTTCCCATGCACATCACCATGTCTGTTGCCGTAGTTCCACCGAGGCCACTCCAACATCCTGGACCCTCGGGGTTACATCCTTATCAGTTGCAAAGTCCCAGTTTGCCTGCAGTTTCTTCATAGCCTGTCAATTAGTGCAGCGGACTGGGTTTGTTTCTGGTTATTGTCTTTGTTAATGGTAATTGGTCAGGTTTTATGTCTCTGTGTGTTTGTCTCCCTCCCTTTCCTTATCATCCCAATTTGACAAGGTCCTTAGTTAATCTTACCGAAAAAATAATCATTCTCACACTCCAGATGTCCTTACTAATTAGTGTGACTGACCAGATTTGTTTCTCCTCACTGCCTCCATTAGCATTTGTCAGTCAGGTTTGTGATTCTTTATGTCCTTGTTTATGGCTTCCTTCTTACTATCCCTTTTTGCAGTGAAAAGGTCCTTGACCGGATACATTTAAAGGAGCAGACAATCTCCTTCCACATACCCTTACCATGAAGACTTGGCAGAGCCCTGGTGGGTAGAGGCCTGGTCCTCACCCAGTCCTCTCATTTGAGAGGACCTGCCATGGCTTGGAAGTGCCTGATGAGGCCTGGGTACACCTGGAAGGTTGCTGGTGGTGGTGTGTCCCACAACAGATCTGGCTTTCCCTGTCCTAGTGCCCGAGTTCATGTGGCTCTCCAGTGGGGCAGATGGGGGGCTGATTCAGGCTAAAACTTAACTTTTTTCTTCCCTGGAACCCTGTTCTGGAGTCAGTTATTTGGGACTGCTGCTCTGGGGGAATCTTGCAGCTTTAGGGGTGGAAAAAACGCCGTGTTATTCGGTGGAGCAAAATGTTGCCAATCCAGATTAAAGGACAGCACATGGTTCTAGGTTACACTGAGCAGCAAAGCTGTTCCTCGCCTGCAAGTCTGTCTTGCGCAGGGAGGGTGGGGTGAGGGTTGTCTTTAGGGGGCCTTAAGGGTTTCTGTTGTTGTTGCAGGGAGCCGGGCCTATGTCCTGCTGTCCCTGAGCCAGCAGGATGGCATTGAGCAGCATGTAGACTTTGACGGTCGCTACACTTTGCTGGAGCTGTTTGCCGAGATGATGTCTTCTGAAGAGCACTGCATGTCCTTTGAGGGGATTCACCTTCCCCAGGTAGCGTCAGGCCCTGCCAGCCCTGGGCCTGTGGGCTTTAGGGGTCAGGAGGGGTGAGAGCAGGGGGCCAGAGCTGGTGTCCCTGTTTGGGACAGGAGGGTAGTCAGCAGTGGGCAGCTGAGCAGGACTGGGTATGGGGAGAGCTGGCGCAGGGTCTGGCTTGAGGCTGGGGGGTGGTGGAGAGACACATAGAGAGCCTTGTCTCTGAGCAGGGAGACGAGGGTGGGCTGAGAGGTCTCTGCTGATGCCTGCTGGTCCAGAGCTATCACGGGAGCCTGACTGTGGATGAGCTGGTGGCTCGGAGAGAGCTGGGGGCCGGAGGCGCTCTGCAGGCTGGAGTCTGACAGCCGTGCTTGTTGCAGATCCCTGGGAAGCTGCTGTTCGTCCTGGTGAAGCGCTACCTGTGTGTCACTTCTCTCATGGACAAGCTCAGCAGTGGTGCGGAGCAGGGAGGGGAGCAGCAGGAGTGCGCTGTGCCCAGCCTGCTCGCTGAGGAGAGGAGCCGCGTGAAGCAGGAGTTTGAGTTCAGCATGGCTATGGCAAACCTCATCCTGGAGCTGGTGCACGTGATGGGCTGGGACCACAGCCACAAGCCAGAGCTGCTGCCCCAACAGGAGCTGCGGCCTCGCACCACCCACTCCATCTTCCAGCACAGGGCCACATCCTGCACCACTGCTCAAGCAGCCCCCGCTCCCCCACCAAAAGAGCCCAGCATCTTCAAGACACGCTCAGCCTTTCCAAGCCGCAGCAGCTATGTGGAGTATGTGCAGGCGAACCTGGTGTGCGGCATGCGGGTGCGCATGCTGGAGGACTATGAGCAGGTCAGCGCGGGTGACGAGGGTGACTTCCGCCAGAGCAATGACGGCACGCCACCTGTGCAGGTATCCTCTGCTGGGAGGGCAGGGGCTGTCGAGGGGCCTTTCTGCTCTGCTGTGCTGTAGGAAGCAGCCTTGTGTGGGAGCAGTGGGGTTGGGCTTCCCTTCCCTCAGCTGGGTGTGTGTTGGGCTCTCCTCTTCAGGTGTACTGGCAAGCCCTGGGCTGTACGTACTGGGTTCACTGGCACATGGTGGAGATCATTGGCCCTTCGGGGCAAGAGGAGCAGGAGGGCCAGGAGAAGGTGTCCACCCTGACACACAACCATAAACTGGCAGCAGGTGAGCAGCCTGTCAGCTGGGCCTGCAGCTTTTCTCCCCAGCCCTTCTGCAGCTGCACGCTGGCACTGTGGGTTCTGCTGGTGCTGGGTGTTCGAGGGCATTGCCTGGCTAGTCCAGGCGCTGTGGGAACAGGCGGGGGGAGCAGTGAGCTAGAGGTGCCCATTTTGAGCATGTGCTTTTTCTGTTCTACAGCCCAAAGAGGTTCAAGTGAAGATGGTAATCCCCATCTCTACAGCTTCTGGGGTCTCCTCCCAGCATGTTCCCCCTCTCTTGCTGCCCTCCTGTCACCTGCTGTGGGATGGTGGGGACCTCTTCTGCCCAGATGGTCCGCATGAGCTCCTGGGGAGCGTGGGGTGTGCGGTAGAGGATGGGGGAATTGGCAGAGCTGACAGTGCCCTTCCTTGCTTTGCTCTCCTGCAGTTACGCAGCCGTTTTTCTGCAAGCCCTTTGGGGGGCTGTATTCCCTGCCTTACCTGGGGGAGCAGCCGACCAAGGCTGCAGAGGCCCTGAGCCGTGCCGAGTGGTGGGAGCTGCTTTTCTTTGTGAAGAAGCTGGAAGCACAGGAGCAGAAAGAGATCACC